CAAGCGGAGGGAGGGTGGGGTTTTAAAAGCAGAAACCAGCACTGTGAGCGTGTGTATTTTTCAGCGTTCTTACGCATAGGAAAATCTAAAAGTTTTAAGTATTTCCTATGCGCGGGAGAACATGTGAATACCAAAAATACCAAATATACCAAAGACCTGGAGGGAATACCAAAAATACCAAAGACCTGGAGGAAATACCACTCACATAGCCTATATGTCTCCAGAGGATTGGTATTTTTGTATTTTTGGGTAGGGCCAACTATTCCTCTACAGGATTTGTAGTTTTGGTATTTTTTGTTTTTCTGAGTTCATAAAACTGCATGCGTTCATAAAAACACTTTTTTGCGACATCAATTGTTTTTAATATATTTATGAGTTCAGGAAGTCAGAGAACTTAAGAAAATTAATGAACTCTTTTAAATTTAGTGAACTCATAAATTTCATAATGAACTATACTCCAACACAGAAGACTACCCAGAGCAGCTCATGGGAGACAAGTGAAAGATTTCTGACAAATGCATTTTAATTTTGCACGCAGTCAATAAGAGCAGCTCATGGAAGACAAGTTAAATATTTCAGACAGATGAATTTTAAAAAACACTCATGGGCAGTCAATACTATATTTAAAAGTAAAGCAAGGCAAAGTTGAGCATTCATTCATTGAAGACGCGCTGTAATAGAATAAAGCCCCATAGAATAGACCGCGTGGCAAAGCTTCTCTACTGGACACCCAAAAATAGCTGGAAACTGCACACGCTCCCAGCGCCGCCCTCTCTTTAAAAGAACAAGTCCAAACCAACGCCAAAGAAAAACAACCTTGGCGCAGGCTCACACTAGCGCCAAGGAAACCCTCTGACAACCGACTCCACTGGAGATGAATAATCACCGGTGAGGAAGGCGCTGGCCAGTTCACTCCCAATCAAATCACTAGCCGTTGCCTACAAATCCCCTTTCGTTGGACACCTGCGTCCACCCCATATCCCATGCCTTCTGGCGGCGCTGGCTCATAGCTGAAGATTGTGATTGAAGGAATGACTGCGTATGATGAGCAAGGCAATCATCATACTTTCACAAGTTTCAGGCATTAGCCATCTACTTCCTCTTTTCACCGAAGTGGTTCTCATCAACTCTGGTGATTCTTCCAGTTCTGGAATGACTGTGGGGTCCACAAATCTTTGAAGTCAATAGGCTTCCAACTAGCAGTCCATGTTCATAGAATCTCCATCCTGATTCTTTCTCAAGAGCTTCAGGTACTTGCACTTCCAAGATCTCCCAAGCAGTTCTCATCTTCATCTCGACTGACTCTAGCGCGGCCTTGAACTGTCAAAGAGCGATTCTGCAAGTGAAGCGGTACCTTCAAGTCACCATTCTCCAACATGTGCTCTCTGCCGTTGATTCCCCAACCATGCTCCATCAACCTTCCATAACAATGTATGGACTGATTTACCTTGGAACTGAAGATCACATTGTCTTTGAGAAGAACTTCTCGTCCATCAAGGTCGTGCCAGGAAATTTCGACGCTTGTCGCACCTCCTAATACGGTTTCCTTGCGCATCTTGTAGCTAGGTCTTTGCGCTGAAATGTAGGTCTCCTTCCCTATGATCTGCCACACAGGGAATCACGCTACATCTGCTCCACTATCAATAATGATGGCCGCATCCTCATTCTCTTCCCCATCATCTGAGATGTCAATCTCCTCAACCTCCTGGAATCCTGGCTCATCATCATCATCTCCAACGTAGAAGTGAATCACTCTAACTCCTTGATCTTCTAGATCCTCATCTCTCTCAAGTCAAAGATGATCGGCTCGCTATTCTCCTGACCACTGGTTTGGTCTCTGCTGAGCTACTCTGTTGGCTCACATTGGCATGCTGTTGACCCACTGTCAGATGCCCCGCCTGAAGATGAACGGGTCTGATCACTTACTACCTGTCGAATATTGTTCCTCCAGTCTTTAGTAAGATGTCCTTGCTTTCCACAAGTGTAACATGTTGCCACACCTTTACCTTTCTGGTCTTTGCCCTTACCTTTACCCTTGTAATCACCTTCTTTTCCTTTCTGATCTCCTTTTCCTTTCTTTCCTTTGCCCTTGGCATCTTTACCTTTGCCCTTTTGATAGTCATTCTTGCCCTTCTTACCTTTTCCTTTGGCATCTTGGACTCGATCAACGTCCACCACTCCAGCTGTTTGGGTTCCAAAGGCCCCAAATCTATGGCTCGATAACGCGCCCGGATCCCAGTGACCTAGGGGCTTTTCACTCGAGCTCCAGAGGGGTTACCTCCTTCTCAGCTCCGCTACCATACGCACTTTTTCCCCAAACAGTGTGGACACACTTAGGGGTTCTTACAGTAGGTGAAAAGCAGCTGATGCTTAGATCGCTGAAGCGCGCGGCCATGAACGGCTAATTCGCTGCTATTTGCAGTACATTCATGCCTCTCGACATCGTCCACGCGCGCTTCGACTGCGCAGGCTCGCAAAACCTGCCGCAGGCGCAAGGGGAACTTCGTGTTTTTGTGCTCCAGAGTCGACTTGCAAGGGATCGGAGCTGTTTTACTTCGAAATGCAGCTTTCGTGGCAAGTGCAGCACTTTGGACATGGTGGTGATCGTCAAGGACCTCAGATTTCGTGACAGGTGCAGTGAATCGTGGCTTTTGGACATGTGGCTCGTTTGCAGATTTCGTGTCGCGCGCAGCATTGGTGAACCTCGATGTACAGATTTCGTGGCAGGCACAGCACTTGGTCTCTCTCACACTCACACTCCCTCACACTCTCACTCTCCCACTTTCACTCACTCACACTCTAACTCTCACGCACACTTACTCTCACCCACACTCACTCTCACTCACACT